AAAATGCTCCAAATTAAATGGAACTTCACAGTAACGATGAGCAACATTTGTAGATGTGGCATTTGGAGTTTAAATTTCCAAAATGACTGCCATTACCATGGAAACAATGCAAAAATGGTCAAAATGCTTCAAAAACCTTAAAGTAGCATTTACTTTCTTAAAACGGTAGGTCAAATCCATTGAAACTATGATGGTATGTTCCCTCCCATGTACCAATATGGCATCTGTCATTAAATTTTGGGAATGGTCTCTGTTACCATAGGAACCAGCAAAAATGTCAAAACTTTCAAAAATTTCAAAATGCTCCAAACTTTAGATAAGATAAGATATTTTATTTCCAATTATGGGCCCCAAAGGGCATAAACATTACAACATCAATAATTTTTCATAATACAATACAAACAATGAGATAAAAAAAAAAAAAAAAAAGTTAAACGAGAACTATTTAAGTTCTTAAAGAATACGTAGATAAAGAATCTATAGTATGTTTATGAAACTTCATATGATTGTTAACTGGCAAGTCTGGATGAGATTTTTGACTTTGGAATTTCAAAAATGGCTACCGTTGCCATGAAACTGCAAAAATGTCTAAAATTTCTAAATGCTCCAAACTAAATGAAACTTGATAATAATGTTAACTGGCAAGTCTGGATGAGACTTTTGACTTTGGAATTTCCAAAATGGCCACCGTTGCCATGGAAACAGCAAAAATATGAAAATTTCAAAATGCTTCAAATATTCTGAAAAAAATACAGAAATATGTATTACCATGCATATATGTGCATTCACTGTTTAAAATTTTGGAAATGGCTGCCGCTTAGTGTCAATGGGGGAATGGTGACATCCGCTATTGCTTGCAATGGCAAATCTAGTTATTATTATTATTCTTCTTCTTCTTCCTCTTCCGCCGCTTTTAAATTTGAACTTGTCCGCACCCGTTCTCCAAAACCGCTAACATGTCTAGTGGTGCAATCAGGGTTTTGTTTGTGCAATGTGGTTTGTAAAGGGGTACTTTGAGGGGCAAAAAAAAAGAGGGTTTTACTATAGAACCCTATGGGATTTTATTTTTAAAAATTTTCAAATGATTATAAATTGAAAACCGTTTGTGATAGACACAATCTTTTTAATTGAAAATGTTCTAAATGATAAAGCCCATTAAATGAAATACAGGGTTAGTCCCCAGGGGTCATCCCACCCCCTGCTATTTAAGAAAGTTGTAATACCTTGTAAGTGGTCAAGATCCCCACCCCTAAACCATATATATTTTGGTTTGTCATGCTAAGATGGTTTGAATGATATACAGGGTTAGTCCCCAGGGGTCATTCCGACCCCCTGCCATTTGAGAAAGTTCTAATATCTTGTAAATGGTCGAGATCCCCACCCCTAAACCATACATATTCTGGTTTGTCATGATAAAGCACATCAAATGAAATACAGAGTTAGTCCCCAGGGGTCACCCCCACCCCATGCCATTTAAGAAAGTTCTAATATATTGTAAATGGTCAAGATCCCCACCCCTAAACCATATATATTCTGGTTTGTCATGCTAAGATGGTTTGAATGATATACAGGGTTAGTCCCCAGGGGTCATCCCGACCTTCCTGCCATTTGAGAAAGTTCTAATATCTTGTGAATGGTCGAGATCCCCACCCCTAAACCATATATATTTTGGTTTGTCATGATAAAGCACATCAAATGAAATACAGGGTTAGTCCCCAGGGGTCACCCCCACCCCATGCCATTTAAAAAAGTTCTAATATCTTGTAAGTGGTCAAGATCCCCACCCCTAAACCATATATATTCTGGTTTGTCATGCTTAGATGGTTTGAATGATATACAGGGTTAGTCCCCAAGGGTCATCCCGACCCCCTGCCATTTGAGAAAGTTCTAATATCTTGTAAATGGTCGAGATCCCCACCCCTAAACCATACATATTCTGGTTTGTCATGATAAAGCACATCAAATGAAATACAGGGTTAGTCCCCAGGGGTCACCCCCACCCCATGCCATTTAAGAAAGTTCTAATATCTTGTAAGTGGTCAAGATCCCCACCCCTAAACCATATATATTCTGGTTTGTCATGCTAAGATGGTTTGAATGATATACAGGGTTAGTCCCCAGGGGTCATCCCGACCCCCTGCCATTTGAGAAAGTTCTAATATCTTGTAAATGGTCGAGATCCCCACCCCTAAACCATATATATTCTGGTTTGTCATGCCAAGATGATTTGAAATGATATACAGGGTTAGTCCCCAGGCATCACTAATGCATATAACTTTACTGGACCAAACCAATTTTCACTGGACTTTGCCCAATGTCAGGCAACCCTGGGAATTATGAATTTTGGGAGCTTTGTTTGGGAGACTTCGTAACAGCATCCTGTTACAATCATTTCTTGTTCATGTTTCTTTTTTAAAAATTTATAATGAAAAATTTTTTAAAGAGTATATATCAGGTTAATAAGTGAAAAACTGACTTAAAATATTAACTATACTTCATTTGAATCAAGGACATATTCCTAATTGTATTTCCAGATTGTTCCATCAGGTACACCATATTTTTATGCTGAAATTCCGTCTGGAGAAAAGTTACTACACAGAATCAAGAAACAGTTTCCTATTCAGTTTGGAAGGTAAAGCAAAGACAAACTTCTCTGAGGATAAGTTTAAGAATTATTGTATAGTTTTAATATTTAAGAAATTTACATACTTTCAAGGGTTGTAATTCATCTTTTGTATGAACATCATTTACAGTGACATGCAAATGGGCAATTTTAAAGGTTGTTAATAAACTTAAATTTCTCTTTGAATTGTTTCACATTTTGTCATATTCAGACTTTTCTAGCTGACTAATACAGTTCAAACTTTGCTCATTGTTGAAGGCTGTACAGTAACCTACATGCATCCATCCGTGTCATTTTGGACTGGATAGTTGTCTCATTTGCAATCATACCGCATCTTATTTTATATTGAACAAATATATTGTTTGATTTCTGTGCACTAAACTTTACCAGGCAAGTCCAACATGTGAAAATAGTATCTGTTGACAAAGATTAGAATTTATTATAAAACCCTTTCTCTAGGAGTGGGGGCTATATTGAAATCACATTGTCCGTTCATTCGTCTAACAAATATTTTCCTAACAATTTTCCTGAAAAAATATATATGTATTTAGTGTAGATTTGTACAATGTATTGTCAGTAAACTTTTACATTTTCAACCTCTTTTCTGAAACAATTTGGCTAAGTTTAACAAAATATGAGGAATGATGTATAGAAGATTCTCTATAATCTATCCCAATTTGGTTCTGGTCAATCAAAAAACATGGCCGCCAGAGGCAATCTCTAATTCTGATTGGCCAATTTTCAAAAACCTGCCTCCATGAAACAACAAGGTGATATGATTTGCTTTACAGGATTGATGATTGGTCTACCCTTTACAAACAATCCTCATTTAACCTTGATGGGATGGCAGTAATGGAAACTGTTTTTGATGAGATCAACTTAGTGTACATATATTTACTCTATATATTTGGAACATTGTCTCATATATATCTATTCCATTTTCATATTATTTGTGATATTTATAAACTTAATACTTTTCTATTTCAGAGATGTTCTTTCTAGTGTACAGGTACTAAACATGCCAGAGAGAGTTGATTGGAGGAATTGTAAAATATCAAAAGATAAAGAAGCACGGCTCGCTGCACAGTTTAAAGAGGACTTCAAACAATTTGATTTCAATTTGGACTGACGATCATACTTTTATGCTAAATTCATTTCATATCCATATTCATTTACCATTTGTCAAAACAAATAAAGCTATTTCTACACATTACGAAATTATTTCCATTATAGCTTTAGTAATTTCATCCTTGGTATTATTTTAAGAATTTATGTGTGGTATATCAGTGTATCAGGATCTGAATAACTCGTCAATTTTTTGGCTGTGATTTTAATGTTATTTGATTAAATGTTTGAGTCCTAAAGAACAATAATGATTTTCTCTCTGAATCATTCTACTCTTGTTAAAAAACATCAATACACATACTCATCAAAGACTTTAAAATTTAGATTTGAAGCTTCTACACCAAGCACAACATTTACTGATATGAGCAAAAACTGGTTGGAATAATGTGTCATGTTTTCCGTGAGATGGTTACCAAGTCAGCTAGAAAAAATTGGCCTAGGACACAACATTGTCTATTTATAACTCAAAATAAGGCATCTTCTTTTACTCGGTATATGCATGTAATATTTGCAATTGGACATTAAGCAGCCATTCATTGATCCATCTTTTCACACCTTTTGTCATATAAGAAATATAATTTTCCTAGACCAATCCTTAGGTGCTGTGTAATCCAGTTATATTACTTCGTGTAGAAATGCTTTTTTAGAGTCTGAAAGTAGGTTTTCCTATTCTATATACTTCATTTATTGACTTATATCAAGATTCAGTTAAGTTAGAAAAGAAATGTATGAAGGATAATCTGCTAGCTCACTACACAACAATTTTTTTATGTTTCACTAACCAGATTCAAGTTTTACAACAGGGTTTAGTCTTTTTGATACAGTGTTACAGTCAAGTATATTATGGAAACACATGTTTGAGAGTCTGTCAGTTTTCCAACAAAAGTAGATCATTGACCTTAAGTTAATGCTTCACTACCGGTAATTTAATTGAGTTTCAAAGGTTAATCATGAAAATCATCCTTTATCAAATTTTCGATGAATATGACAATTATAATGAAATGAGCTATAGTTTACAGAAATCAGAGGATGCTTAGTAATGACAATTCCTTTACTCTAATAAAAGAAACTGATTCAATAATACTATATATGGGTTATGCTGATAGTTGAAGGCCATACAGTGATATATTGTTTACATCTGCTTCATTTTGGTCTCAGTTGGATAGTTGTCTCATTGGCAAGCATACCACATCTTCTTAATGTATTCAGTCATCTGACAACGACAAAACAGTATTAATAGTAGAAAAAAAAAAAATTTCATACTTTAATATATAAATGTTAACATAACGAATAAATCAGCTCTTTCAGTTCATGTTACATATATGTTGTTTTGTAGACAGCATAAGGTCTCATTAACTGTAAGCACTTCTATAACAGACACAACACACACTTGTTACTAAGCTGGAACAAATTTAGACTGTTGTGGTAGCCTAAACTCTGACATGTCATTGTCTATATCATAATAGGACAAGTCATTATACTGGTAATACTCTATTGATTTATACTCGGAGTTGTCAAAAGGCTCTGAAAAAAATATGATATCAAATATTATAATATATATTTCAAAATCCCTAAAAAATATACATTTGTGTAAAATGCTATAAGAGTTTGTCCTTTATACCTAAAACTGTTTTGGATAGAGAAAATCTAGATGTGGCAGAATTGTTCAGAATGTGAAGATCTCCAACTACTGTGTTTTGCTACCAGTACTTGCATGATGAGTCTTGGACCCATTGAATTTCAACAATTCAAATGTAGATATATAAAGAAGGTTATGAAAGTTGGACTGAAGCTTCTTTATTATCAGGAAATATCATTTGAAGAAAAAGTTTGATATTTTTTTTATTTATCTGTTTTAAGTAATAAGTGGGCTTAGTTTTTGTGAGCCATTATGTTTGTTTGTACTCTGTTGTGTCTGTTTAAACAGTTTAACCTCTATTTACAACGTAAAAGGGTCAGAGGGTTTTATAAGTTAAGTGTTAAAAGCTTGATTCTACGCTGGTCTATTAAACCAATGAAAACTTAGAAAATGCATATGACCTATATTACTAATATGGTAAATCTTAATCATACCAGTCTTAGGTTCTTTAGCTTTTGCAACAGTTTCTTTCTTGGCAGGTTTCTTTTCTTTGGAAGGATCTTGATCTCCACCTTTTGTACCAGTACTGTATAGCCTTGGCAAATATCCCTGTAATGTAAATTGCATGCAATTACATAAATATATATTTAAAAAAAACTTATGTTGGCTTGCTGTTTTATTGATATTTTCGAAATATTTACTTTTATCCTGCAATCAGCCAACTATTGTACAAATAACAGGTACACAAATGAATTTTTGCTATATTAGTACTTGTACAAATAAAAGTCTCCTGTTACTCTGCTTCCATATTTAGCAAACAGTAATGTGAATATGTCTTTTTGTGTGACAGTTCATTTTGGGGTCCTCTTTGCGGTCGGTGTTTAAACTATGTCGTTTTCTTTAAAAAAAAATTTATAGACTGTAGTGTTATCACTGTGGTAGAAAAATGTAGCACCACAATACCTTAAGGGCCTGTGGAGACGACTGATAACCTTACCCAAAAACATTATTTTATTTCTGAGTATAGGAGTCTTTGCTGTTACTCCTATATGTTAAATAAGCTATTCTTTAAATTTCTTTCATTTAAGTCAATCATCAAAAAAGCCAAAATGGGAATAACTCACGGACAGACTGTAACCATGAGAAGTGTATATATTTTAGTTCCAAAAGAAAATTAAATACAAAAGTCATGTACATTAATTTTGTATATTGATATTTAAAATAGGTACATTTTAAGTTGAAAATCTAGATTGATCAATGAATTTTTTTAATAAGTTTTCCGTATAGAACAGTTGGATGGCACATGTATTAGCAAGGCCCTACATTGCTTTAGTGTTGTAGGGCCAGTTACAAAATCAAATGTTTTGCTTCTCTTCAATACAGTACTTTATTATAAATGTGTATACGGCATTTTTGTCTGTTGATTTAAAGAGACATAAATTATTGATGTGTTCAGCTTTAAAGAGTGTAGAAGTTTACAGGCAGAATGATCATGTGTTCAGGTTTATAAAGTGTAGAAGTTTACAGGCAGAATGATCATGTTTTGTTTCATTTGACAGACCTTTTCTTCAATTGCTACACAATAGAAAAGTATGACATAAGTGTATGAATCAAGTGGACATTTCGATTATTTATGTGTAAACAGATTGACAATTAACTGTCCCTTGCACCAATAAAATATAACTCTAAAAAATCACAACACACTAGTGACTTGCATTTTGTTGTGAACTATGAATCTCTGACCAGTAACTGGTACTTGACACATATTTTAAAGAACATTGTATGAAAGGCAACAATTTTCTCTCTGAAAAGAACGACAATAAGTACTGCATCATGTATGTATGTTGCCCTACCCAAACCCTGAATTTATTTAAATGACTGTCAATTCTTCTTCTACTCTGGGACTAATAAGATAAAGGGACATGGAACTAAATTATTTTTACCTGTAAATGGTTGTTTTTGGAGGCATTTCTCTGTTCAACATTAGTTTACAATTGATATTGATAAAAAAAATATGATATTGATAAAAAAAAATATGACATTGAACATGTTGAAGATTAATGATTGTAGGGTGTAGAGAGCTAATTTTCATTTCCATAATTTCATTAAGTTTTTATTCTGGTGTCCAAAGTTGGAGAAATTTTCATTATCAAAGCAAATTTTCAAATACTTTAATTTTAGAAGGTGCTTGGTTTTTACATTTTCTTTAATTCCTATTATTTTATCATCAATAATTTTATATGGTTGAAAAGGAGACTTTTCATAGGGTGCAGCAATTTATTTTTTTATTGACTTTTTGTTTTATACCCTTACAGTAAAATGCACTTACCATGCATTTTTTCCAAAGAATATTAGTCACCAACTTTTTTAATTAAATGGGGTTTATTCTTTTTTAAAATCATACATTTCCTGTATCTAAATATATCAAGGATTTGTATAGTATTATACAAATCCTTGAATATACAAATAAAATGTTATGTAAACATGGTTAAAAAGACAATAAAATGTGGAATAAACATATATATAAATTGTATTGAATTTTGATGAGTTTAAACCAGGTAATTAACAAGTTAAAGTTATGCAATTTTGCTTATTGTCTCAAGGGAATCACTGATAATTGTGACCCAATTATTGATTAATTACAGATAAATATAGCACAGATTTTACAAGTAAAATATGCACCACTTGCATTCTTTTTTTTAAACATATTCTATTTTTCATTTTTTCTTTTAAAATGCATCATATTAGTCCATAATAATTCTTCTTTGAGAAATAATTTACAGAATAATTCTATCTACTGTAGATCAAAAGTTATAAGTAAATGAGTAACTGAAAAATTCAGTTATTGTTGAATACTATTAGAAGTTTCATGTCCCTTCAAAAAATTATGTATTAGCCTCAGTTCTATGTAAATGCTTCCAATCAGGAACACCAAGTAAAAAAAAGTTTTCCATTGTATTAATACATTTGCGAGCTATGTCATATGACTTTAGATAATTCAATGATAAATACAAAACGAGGTACTGTACAAAAACATAATTCCAAGGTTGACTTTTTATATCCAAATGCATGCCATGGTAAAAGTCAAATGATGGTGTTTCTACCTGTTCAACAAACATGGAAAAGAGAAAGTGCAGTTTTAGTTAATCTCGTGATAAAATAGAATGATATAATGTATCAATATATATTACACATACTCGTAAAACGCAAGAATAGCTTGTCAAATTTCTGGTTAAGGAGGCCATGCCTTTCGATATTTCGGGTAGGTAGCTGTGCACTGAGGCAAATTCCAAAGAGTTACAAAAGGGATTGACTAAATTTAGACGTAACATAGGTGAAGATACGAGCAATATACGCATATCAATGTAATATTGTATTGATCTGTCTGTTAATCGGGATCTTTCATATTAGTAGTCCTATAGCAGAGACTTCGGATTTTCTTTTCGTTTTTTCTACGTTTTTACTGGGAATAGTCAATATATTATGTATCAGGCTTTTAGGCTGATATTTTTTCTTTTTTTTCGAAATAAAAAGCTATTTTAAGTCAGACTATAAACGTGGAATAGAAAACATGAACTTGCGGTCTTATGGATAGGACTAATTATATTAGGTCTCATGGTAAATATACAAGAGTCAGTCGATCGCCACTAGGTTCATGTGATTCCACAGGGGTCAGTTCGCCGGACCGAGTTATTGTCTTGTATTTTATTTGCAGAGGACACCATAGTGATTTTGCAATGAAATAAAATTCTGATGCATCCATATTACAAAAAGATCTAGACAAATTAGCAACACGGGGAAACTACCGGGCAAGGAAAATGGCATTCAACCCATATAAGTGTATTGTAATATCAATCAGTCACCAGAGATAAAAAAAAAATCACATTTAACTTCACATTGCACAACCACTCTTTAGAAAATGTTACAATATTAAAATATCTGGGTATAACCATCAGTTCTAACCTTAAATAGGATGTACACGTTAACAATATATATACAAGAAAGCTAATAGCACTCATGGCTTTCTAAGGAGGCACCTACAATTATCTCAACATCCATTAATAAAGAGTGGCATACAAGTCCCTAGAAGACCATCACTAGAGTATGCTTGCTCAGTTTGGAACCCTTACTTACAACATATATAGACAGCATTGAAAGAGTTCAAAGGATCCGGAGGGCTGTCGGTTTTGTAATCTTCCTTGGTCTTTGCTGTCAGAATGAACGGCATTTAACGAAAGTAATATTCATTTTCGACTCTTTGCAGGCTTTGAAATTCTTTTTCTTTTAATTTTCGGTCAAATAAACAAACAAAAAAGACATAGTTGTCATACTTCGTCAAAATGTAGAGTATATCGTGCTATTTAAAAAAAATTATAAAAGGTTAAGTTCACCGAGCTTGATTTCAAAGTAAGGACTGAAATATGAATAAGATATGAGAAGACAGCTCTGATAGAATACTTCCCGAAACTCGGTAAACTGAAGAAAAATTTGCTTTTTTTTTGTAAATGTTTAAATTTTCAACAAGTAAAGTGAACAAAATTTTAAAAGCATGGTGTATAACGCACACTCTTAAAGTAGAACAACATCATTTTCACTGAAACTTAATATCTATTGCTGTTTACAATTATATGTTATTGATTCGCATTGCAAGCTTTCATGTAACTCTTAATCAACAAACCTAAACATTTATATATCTAAATAAATTATATACAGAACTAGCAATCAAAATCGCAAGTCAATGACCAGCTGAAAGAACTAGAAAACCACACTCCACAAAAACACATTGACAACTAAACACTGAACAGCCAGTTTAAAATTTCAGAAAAGTTCATCTTAATATATATACAAAAATTGATATTCCAAGTCTAAGACATCCGTTTTATATCAATCAATATCTAAAAATACCTAATTTCCAATACTAAATCAAGAACCACATGCACACATATTACCTTAAATAAGAATAGAGCGAAGCAGTCCACAGCTTTTTAGAAAGCTCAAACTTGTTGTATTATTATTTTACGACAAGATACTCTACACAGTTTGGTGTACATTTGACGAAAAAGAGAGAACGTAAATTTGTAGTGACATTAAAAAAATATACATGTAAATGAATTAGGGACAGCTCATATATTTGAAATGTGTAAGTCATGATAAGCATTTTCAGTATACAGACATGGATAGTAAACTGTACAATGCTAGAAAACAAAGAAACATTGATGCCATCGTTAAATAATAATTAAAGTAATACAAATAGACAGGAAATACAAAAAAAATTTTTAAAAAACATTGATTAAAATTTTGTTAATCTGCTAACATCTGGATCCCTGTGGTGACAACAGCCAATCTAATAAAAATAAAACATAAAGGCAAAATTGTCAAAATGAACCCGTGTCGTTGTATACAATCCATCTAGGAAAATTAGATAATGTAAATAACGAATTAATCGAATTTTGATTTGATTGATAGACTGTTAGCGTTTAACGCCAATTTCATTCCTTTTAGCTAGATAGTGGAGGTAAGTTTTTATTGGTGGATGAAGCCGGAATGTCCGGAAAGATCGAACCACCATCCTAAGGCAGAAAACTGACAATTATAGTCAATTAAGTTTGGAGTCGAACGCACCTGCCATGTGCCGGGTTCGAACTCACAACAGGCTAGTGTTACAGTAGATGAACTACTTTGATCAATCGGCCACCGAGGTCCCTTCCACAATATGATATAACAACTGTACCCAGTTGTTCCGATACAGTGTTATAGATGTTCCCCTTTACATCGTATCTTTTGGTGGTGCTCCTAAATAGGAGGTAATACGAAACAGACTTATACAAAAAAGCGCCATCTTCCGGTCTTTTTCACGAGGCCAAGATGGCAGAACAGGTACAGTCCACATGGCCGTCGAACAAATCTGTTTATTTGCATATTATCTATATACTATTTGTGTTTTATGAAAGTTTAATTACAATAAAAATAAATATGTGTTAATAAAACATGAATTTGAAAACTTTCTAAGAGCAGAAACACTTGAAATAATTACGGAAACTAAAAAAAAAAGGGGGGGCTGTTGTGGCACAATCAAGTCCGTTTAAAAGTTTGTCCAATAAATCTGCATTTTATTGACATTTCTTTATATAAATGAACAAACTTATGATAAGAACGAAATTACCTGAAACCATCATAATATATCTTATTTAAAAACTTAAAATTGGGATGAAAACAAATTTTATCAAAAAGTCTTACTCATACATGTATATTATAACGGTTAACCTTTTTGGGATTGTATTTTAAAATGAACTGTACTCGAGATTTATACAATATTAGCTTATTAATAATGCAAAGGTTGCTATGATAATCTATTTTATGCAATATGTAGTTATTTGCTTTTTATAAGGCGAAAATATATGTATCCGGCTCCATGGTCTGGTCTGCAAATTGTGTAAAAATATAAGGACCATAAGCGCTACACTTATAAAGCTAGTGTTGAGAATAATAAATGTGTAAAATGCAATGTTTACATAGTTAAAATTTTTTTGTAATAGAGTTGAACAAGCATGATAAATTATGGATTCAATGACAATGGGCAACCAATAAAATTAATAATTTATGACCGGCGGTACCAAGTGCTATTCTGGATTAACCTGCATCAGGAAAGCTCAAACCGAAAAAATTCAAAGCCAAGACTGTGAAATGACTTAAATATATGAGCTAAATTATGATAAGAAAAGAATAGCTAGATCAACCTTAGGTTAACATGAAAGCTACTGTCTATTGCAACTGGTCAGTTATATTTTATTACTAATCCCTTTTCTGATTCTTGAGGGTTTTTCTTATTTTGCCATAGACAAAATCTCCTACTCAGATTTTGCAAAAATCATTGGTCCTGTCTAGCAAAGTTTGCTGGTGTGCATTTTTAACCTTTTATGATAGCATGATTGTCCACCTGTTTTGTACTTGTTATTTGAAAATGTTTATTGAGTAGTTGGTCAAGTCGAGACACTGGTTTCCAATTCACCTGTAATGTTTGTCATCTGGCCTGGGAACACATTTATCGTTGTTTGATTTTCTTTGTTTACAAATTTAGACGGGGTGGACAGGGGTTTGGGAATATAGGAGGGGGAGTATAAATAGATATCTGTTGGAAAAGTTTTTTGAACAATTTTCCTCAGGGAGTAGGAGGGAAGTGGGAATCTAGGACTGTCCACCCCTCAATATACCTTGTAGTCCTTAGTTTGGACAGTGCATTACTTGCAAACCTTTTCCATACTCCTTCCCAATTTATTTCTTCCTGTTTTATGCCTCAAATAGCAAGTTGTAAAATGCAGTTTCACTAAAATAATTTTGGTCACCCACAAATTTAGTAGTGGTCCATTTGAGAAACGTAAAACTTTGGTATGTCTAGATCTGCAGCTGTCAAACAGAATTCAACTGACATTAAATTATCCATATTTTGAGTTGGAGTTGATGAAGTTTTCTCTAACTTTGATATAATTTTCCCAAAAGTACATCTAGTACACCACACTGAAAAAATATTATCGAGAAAGCGCAGGTGTGATATATTTTAATTTGCATTAATAAATAAGTGTGTTCTCAAGCCATCTGTCCTGCTATCATAACCTTAGAAACATTCAAAGTAATTTCGATGGCAATGCAGTCCATTTATTTAGAAAGGACAAGAAATCTGAAAACTGCTCCAAACTCAGAATCACAGAAGGAAATTAATGGTTCTAGTTAAACTCAGATTACAGTTGTTTGTAATATGTAATAAAAGTTTTTTAAAAATGTTAAAAACTGCAGTAACTAAGGCCCCAAATAAAGGTTTGCTTTAAGGGGTTCTTGGCTGACCCAAATTTTGAAAGCATACCTAATGTTTTTATGAGAATTGAGACCTTCAAATATTTTCACCAACTTTTTAGTTGTAATTAACTTTTTTTTTCAAGATGCGTGACAGAATTAATCAAAACCCAATGTAACAACTATATAAAGAAAAATATTCAGATCTACCAACCCTAAACACACTTAATTTTTATAGACTTAACCAAAAGCAAAATATAAGAATGAACAATTGTAACTTGTGTAACCTGTTGCCTAAAAATGAGCTTTCTAACATGTACCTTATATTTAACAACAATTCATACACAAATTACAGAGGAATATTTTTTTAATGTAATTCAAATTTCTATTTAACAGACAGAAAGGTCGTTTCAAAAGCAGCCTACAGTGTTTCTGAACAAGAAGCAAAACATTGGAAAAAAGAAGGCTCTTAGACACTATTTCAGTGTTGGTTTGGGATTCAAAACTCCAAGAGAGGTAAGAAAGTACATTTGTAGCAGCAAAAAATAAAACATTTTGCCAATGAGCTTAACCATCCAGTCTTGACAATTACCCACAAGCCTAGTCCTTCGAAAAAGGCCAGGAAAAAGCATGTGGGGCCAGTGAAAATGTCTTGTAAAAAGTAAGTAAACTCTTGTGCTCAAGTTTACAACTTGACCAATTCTGACCAATTTTAAGACAATTGGCAGTACTTAGACTCATTTAGAAAATAGATTTTGCTTGTGCTTTACACATGGATAAGGTCTATACCGGTAATGTCTAAATAAGAGAATTTAAAAAAAAGACTTCTTTTCATATGCCTAAGGCTAAGGTGCATTTTGAATAAAGCTGTAAATGATGTTTAATCACGATGGTCTACTGATATCATTGATGAAATGCCTAAAGGCTTCTGTCTGATACAGCTTCATTCAAAAGATTGCTAGAGGTCCATGCATATTTATTTTATACCCCTGGCCCTGCTCCAAACAAGGGGTGGAGGTACCGTAACACATTGTACTTGTAACTAACTGGATTCAAATTTATTATATTTTTAAAGTTTTAATGGGAGAGTGAAGACATTGTTTTACAGTCATGGGCATGCATAACATTAAAGAATTAATATTGACCAGCCAACTTGTGAAGTCCTAGATTCTTGATATCATTTGGCAACAAGCTTCATCTGGTTATGCTATACTGTATGGTATCTTTATTTCCTTTGGGTTTGATATTCTTCTAATCTTATTCCCCCAAGAATATCTTAAAATGGCATGCACATATATATAAATACATACCTCTCGATATTTTACCCCTTCATTAATTTTTGAATTTCCTTTTTCTTGTCACCAATCCAAGAAGGCTGAATAAAAGAAATTAAAAAATGACATCTTTTCATATGTCTCCAGTGCATTTTGTATACAATGTAGCTGTAAATGATGTTTTATCACGATGGTCTACTGATATCATTGATGAGATGCCTCATGGCTTTTATCTGATGCAGCAATAAAATTATCAGATTATAAAAACTTTCACTGTGCACTGTTAAACTTATTTGTTGCAGCCTGTAAAATCTGAGAACCTTCAATAACATGAATAAGGGCTTGTGTTCAGATGATCTTTCATCAGTATCCAATTAAATCTTTCCTTATAAAAATTTGATATTATTGCCTTCGACTAACAAAATAACTGACATGTTAACTTGGAAACTTGTCTGATTATAGTCTTAGAAATTTTATGTTCTAACCATATTTCTTGTCATTTATCTTATTTTATACACTGACCTGATTGCAAACATTCAAAAAAGCATCCTCCACCAATAAAAACTGGCCGCCACGAAATAGGCCAAAAGTGGCGCTTAAAAGTGGCGTTAAAACACCAACGATCAATCAATCAATCAAAAAAGCAAAACAGTATATAGTACTTTCATTGTTTTATGTATTCATTTTAAGCTCACCTGGCCCAAAAGAACATACCTCTCAATATTTTACCCTTTCATTAATTTTTAGATTTCCAATTTCTCATATCTCACCAGTCCAAAAAGTCTGAATAAAAGAAATAAAAAAATGACTGCCTTTTCATTTGTCTACGTGCATTTTGTATACAATGTACAAATGTAGCTGTAAATGATGTTTTATCACGATGGTCTACTGATATCATTGATGAGATGCCTCATGGCTTTTATCTGATGCAGCAATAAAATTATCAGATTATAAGAACTTTCACTGTGCACTGTTAAATTTATTTGTTGCAGCCTGTAAAATCTGAGAACTTTCAATAACATGAATAAGGGCTTGTGTTCAGATGATCTTTCAGTATCCAATTAAATCTTTCCTTATAAAAATTTGATATTTTTTACCTTCGACTAAGAAAAAAATGACATGTTAACTTGGAAACTTGTCTGATTATAGTCTGGAAATTTTATGTTCTTTCCATATTTCTTGACATTTGTCTTACTTCATACACTAACCTGATTGCAAACATTCAAAAAAGCAAAACAGTATATAGTACTTTCATTGTTTTATGTATTCATTTTAAGCTCACCTGGCCCAAAAGAACATACTTCTCAGTAGACGTATTTACACTTATATGCAAATTTGTCCGCCATTACGTAAAATCACACACAAGTTCCTGTAAAACTTAACATCACAATTAAAAATATTTGACGTCACAATTAAAAAGTGATTGTTGATTGACGTCGGAAGGTTATTCGGAGCAGATCTAAGGTCATTCGGAGACAAAATTCAGCTATTAAATACCAAAAGTGTAAATACGTTTATATTTTACCCTTTCATTAATTTTTAGTTGTCCAATTTCTCGTTTCTCACCAGTCCAAAAAGTCTGAATAAAAGAAATAAAAAAATGACTGCGTCCAATTTCTCGTTTCTCACCAGTCCAAAAAGTCTGAATAAAAGAAATAAAAAAATGACTGCCTTTTCATTTGTCTCCAGTGCATTTTGTATACAATGTAGCTGTAAATGATGTTTTATCACGATGGTCTACTGATATCATTGATGAGATGCCTTATGGCTTTTATCTGATGCAGCAATACAATCAATCACTTGTCAGTCATATTATAAATACTAAGTTGATAAAACATTTAATCAATATTTATATAACACTAACATCATGAATTAATTGTGTTTTTCTGTTTGCTGGTGAAAATACCAGTGTGTAATGAAATGATTGGTTGGTTAAAACTTTGCATAACAGCCAGGTCATCTGAACATGACCCCTCATGCATGGGATGTCTTCAGATGTGCCTGACTAAGACCAGTCTGATAATTATTGTGTTGGGCAGACAAATATATGAAACTCGCTAGTGCACGTGTGATCCCATATTTTGCCGTCTTCACAATCATTTTGATTAAACCTTCAATATTGTTTCAATAACTTTTTTTTCTTAAATTCACACAATTTAATATGTAAAAAAAAATGCTTAATTCTTATAAAACATGTTTTTTTGCTTACGACTATAGAACATGCACTAAATACTTGACACAGAGGGTAAATTAATAATGGTTTTGGGGAAGCACCTATTTTTTATACGACCGCAAAAAAATTTTGTGGTCGTATATTGGTATGTCGTTGGCGTCGTCGTCCGGCATCGTCGTCCGAATACATATTGGTTTTCGCACTCTAACTTTAGTTTAAGTGAATGGATCTTTTTGAAATTTGACCATAAGGTTAAATACCACAAAAGGAAGGTTGGGATTGATTTTGGGGGTTATGGTACCAACAGTTAAGGAATTAGGGGCCAAAAATGAGCATTTTCTAGTTTCCAGACAATAACTGTGGAACGGTGTATGGATCTCTCTGAAATTATACTACAAGTTTCCATACCACAAAGGGATGGTTAGGATTTGCTTTGGGGGGTTATGGCTCATACCGTTTAGGAATTAGGGGCAAAAAAGGGGGAAAAACAAGGTTGTCCTGGTTAATGGACAAATACTTTAGTACAAAACATAATTTAAAGCAGTGTAAGGGAGATAAATCAAATACATCATTGAAATTATCTCCCTTACACTGCTTTTAAATTATGTATAAAGTAATGGTTAATGAACAATAAAGATAATCTAAAACAGTGTAAGGGAGGTAATCCAAATACAACGTTTTGGTTACTTCCCTTACACTGCTTTTAAATTATGTTTAAAGAAATGCATATTTATAAAGGAAGACCAGTAAAAATATCTGCAAATGTTTTCATCTTTTTTTTTTTACAAAAAAATCCATATGAAAGATTTGACACTATATTTTTATTAATTCTATTATAAAATAGATTAAGTTAGCACTATGGTAAATTTAAATGGGTAATTATGGTTGCCAACTCCATTGGAAATTTGAATTGAGATTATGACCATATCTTGAGGGAAAGAATTTTTTTGGGGGAAAAAGGGGGGGGGGATAAAAAGAAATTGTGGGGGGCCAATTTTTTCTCATTTCAGATTTCAGAAATTAAAAAGAATTATTCTTCAAATATTATTTTTTTTTCAAATTTCAAATATTGAAAAATTTCAAGAAGTAATCTTTAATTGCACAGTATGGCGCATTAGATTTGTAAAATCTTTGATCACATTTATTTATTTGTTATGCCGAATCTAACAGTGTATTTAGATTTTTAATTTTGGGTCCAGTTTTCAAATTGGTCTACATTAATGTCCAAAGGGTCCAAAATTAAACTTTGTTTGATTTTAGCAAAAATTGAATATATGAGGTTCTTTGATATGCTGAATCTAAACATGTATTTAGATTTTTATACGACCGCAAAAAAATTTTTGTGGTCGTATATTGGTATGACGTTGGCGTCGTCGTCGTCGTCCGGCGTCGTCGTCCGAATACGCATTAGTTTTCGCACTCTAACTTTAGTTTAAGAGAATGGATCTCTGTGAAATTTTACCATAAGGTTCAATACCACAAAAGGAAGGTGGGGATTGATTTTGGGGGTTATGGTACCAACAGTTAAGGAAAAAGGGGCCAAAAATAAGCATTTTCTAGTTTCCAGACAATAACTGTGGAACAGTGTATGGATCTCTCTGAAATTATACTACAAGTTTCCATACCACAAAGGGATGGTTAGGATTTGCTTTGGGGGGTTATGGCTCAAACCGTTTAAGAATTAGGGGCAAAAAAGGGGGAAAAACAAGGTTGTCCTGGTTAATGGACAAATACTTTAGTACAAAACATAATTTAAAGCAGTGTAAGGGAGATAAATCAAATACATCATTGAAATTACCTCCCTTACACTGCTTTTAAATTATGTATAAAGTAATGGTTAATGAACAATTAAGATAATTTAAAACAGTGTAAGGGAGGTAATCCAAATACAACGTTTTTGTTACTTCCCTTACACTGCTTTTAAATTATGTTTAAAGAAATGCATATTTATAAAGGAAGACCAGTAAAAATATCTGCAAATGTTGCATCTTTTTTTTTTACAAAAAAATCCATATGAAAGATTTGACACTATATTTTAAATTCTATTATAAAATAGATTAAGTTAGCACTATGGTAAATTTAAATGGGTAATTATGGTTGCAAATTCCATTGGAAATTTGAATTGAGATTATGACCATATCTTGAGGGAAAGAATTTTTTGGGGGAAAGGGGGGGGGGGGGGTAAAAAGAAATTGTGGGGGGTCAATTTTTTCTCATTTCAGATTTCAGAAATTAAAAAGAATTATTCTTCAAATATTATTTTTTTTTCAAATTTCAAATATTGAAAAATTTCAAGAAGTAATCTTTAATTGCACAGTATGGCGCATTAGATTTGTAAAATCTTTGACCACATTTATTTATTTGTTATGCCGAATCTAACCGTGTATTTAGATTTTTAATTATGGGTCCAGTTTTCAAATTGGTCTACATTAAGGTCCAAAGGGTCCAAAATTAAACTTTGTTTGATTTTAACAAAAATTGAATATATGGGGTTCTTTGATATGCTGAATCTAAACATGTATTTAGATTTTTTATTTTTGGCCCAGTTTTCAAGTTTGTCCAAATTGGGGTCCAAAATTAAAATTTGTTTGATTTCAACAAAAATTGAATATATGGGGTTCTTTGATATGCTGAATCTAACCATGTATTTAGAATTTTTTATTTGTGGGCCCCGCTATCAAATTGGTTCATATTGAGGTCAAAAGGGTCCAAAATTAAACTTTGTTTGATTTCATCAAAAATTGAATTATTGGGGTTCTTTGATATGCCAAATCTAACCGTGTATTTAGATTTTTATGCCCCCGCCGTAGCGGAGGGGGCATTAAGTTTTACCCTTGTCCGTCTGTACGTACGTACGTACGTACGTACGTCCCGAAATTGGTTTCCGTTCTCTAACTTCAGTTTGCCTCAACCAAATGTTATGAAACTTATACACAATGCTTATTACCACAAAACACAGATCAAGTTTGAATTTTGGTGGCGTCACTTTAACCGATCTAGAGTTATGGCCCTTTATAAAAGGAAATATTGCAAAATTTTTAGTTTCCGTTCTCTAACTTAAGTTTGCCTCAACCAAATGTGATGAAACTTATACACAATGCTCATTACCACAAAACACAGATCAAGTTTGAATTTTGGTGGCGTCACTTTAACCGATCTAGAGTTATGCCCCTTTATAAAAGGAAATATTGCAAAATTTTTAGTTTCCGTTCTCTAACTTAAGTTTGCCTCAACCAAATGTGATGAAACTTATACACAATGCTCATTACCACAAAACACAGATCAAGTTTGAATTTTGGTGGTGTCACTTTAACCGATCTAGAGTTATGCCCCTTTATAAAAGGAAAAATTGCAAAATTTTTATTTTCTTCTAAATATCAAGTTTATATAATATATTTTTAAAATTGGAGTTATCTTCCTTTGACCATGATTATAGTTGGATCAACTACAATCAATGCTTTATACAATGCAATGTTTAATATTGACTTCCACTGATAAAACACAGATCAAGTTGAATTTGGGTAGTGTCACTTTAACCATTATTGAGTTATGCCCCTTTATAAATAGAAAGATTGCAAATTTTTTTAGTTTCCATTCTGTAACTGAAGGTTTCCCCAGCCAAACATTATGAAACCTATACACAATATTCATTACCACAAAACTCAGTAAGGATCAAGTACAATTTTTTTGTTTCAGTTCTCTAACTTAAGTTTGCCTCAACCAAATGTGATGAAACTTTTACACAATGCTTATCACTACATAATACAGATTAAGTACGAAATTAGGTGGCAACACTTTTACCATTCTAGAGTTATGTCCCTTTATAAACATAAAAATTGCTGAATTTTTTAGTTTGTCTCAACCAAATGTTGTAAAACTTATACACAACTGTTCTAGAGTTATGGGTGTTTACAAATAGAAAAATTGCTGAATTTTTAGTTTCTGTTCTCTACTTAAGTTAGCCTCAACCAAATGTTATGAGACTTACACACAATGCTTATTACCACAAAACTCAGATCAAGTTCAAATTTGGGTAGCGTTACTTTTACCGTTCTACAGTTAAGTCTCTTTATAACTATATGATATGCAAGCGGGGGCATCATCTGTGTCCACATGTGGACACTATCCACATTTATTAATTTTGGGTCCCGTTTTTTAAATTGGTCTACATTAAGGTCCAAAGGGTCCAAAATTAGACTTAGTTTGATTTTAACAAAAATTGAATTTTTGGGGTTCTTTGATATGCTGAATCTAAACATGTGTTCAGATTTTTGATTATGGGCTCAGTTTTCAAGTTGGTCCAAGTTGGGGTCCAAAATTAAACTTTGTTTGATTTCAACAAAAATTGAATATATGGGGTTCTTTGATATTCTGAATCTAAACATGTATTTAGATTTTAGATTTTTGGCCCAGTTTTAAAGTTTGTCCAAATTGGGGTCCAAAATTAAACATTGTTTGATTTCAACAAAAATTGAATATATGGGGTTCTTTGATATGCTGAATCTTACCATGTATTTAGATTTTTTATTTGTGGGCCCGCTATCAAATTGGTTCATATTGAGGTCAAAAGGGTCCAAAATTAAACTTTGTTTGATTTCATCAAAAATTGAATTAATGGGGTTCTTTGATATGCCAAATCTAACTGTGTTTTTAGATTTTTAATTTTGGGTCCCGTTTTTTAAATTGGTCTACATTAAGGTCCAAAGGGTCCAAAATTAACCTTAGTTTAATTTTAACAAAAATTGAATTCTTGGGGTTCTTTGATATGCTGAATCTAAACATGTGTTTAGATTTTTGATTATGGGCCCAGTTTACAAGTTGGTCCAAGTTGGGGTCCAAAATAAAACTTTGTTTGATTTCAACAAAAATTAAATATATGGGGTTCTTTGATATGCTGAATCTAAACATGTATTTAGATTTTAGATTTTTGGCCCAGTTTTCAAGTTGGTCCAAATTGGGGTCCAAAATTAAACTTTGTTTGATTTCAACAAAAATTGAATATATGGGGTTCTTTGATATGCTGAATCTTACCCTGTATTTAGATTTTTTATTTGTGGGCCCGCTATCAAATTGGTTCATATTGAGGTCAAAAGGGTCCAAAATTAAACTTTGTTTGATTTCATCAAAAATTGAATTATTGGGGTTCTTTGATATGCCAAATCTAACTGTGTTTTTAGATTTTCAATTTTGGGTCCCGTTTTTTAAATTGGTCTACATTAAGGTCCAAAGGGTCCAAAATTAAACTTAGTTTGATTTTAACAAAAATTGAATTCTTGGGGTACTTTGATATGCTGAATCTAAACATGTGTTTAAATTTTTGATTATGGGACCAGTTTTCAAGTTTGTCCAAGTTGGGGTCCAAAATTAAACTTTGTTTGATTTCAACAAAAATTGAATATATGGGGTTCTTTGATATGCTGAATCTAACCATGTATTTTGATTTTGGACATTGGACCATTATAGGTAAATTAAAAAAATTGAAGTTCTTAGACCACATTCTTTCTGTGTCAGAAACCTATGCTGTGTCAAATATTTAATCACAATCCAAATTCAGAGCTGTATCAAGCTTGAATGTTGTGTCCATACTTGCCCCAACTGTTCAGGGTTCGACCTCTGCGGTCGTATCAAGCTGCGCCCAGCGAAGCATTTTATTGATTTTTGGCCCAGTTTTCAAGTTGGTCCAAATTGGGGTCCAAAATTAAACTTTGTTTGATTTCAACAAAAATTGAATATATGGGGTTCTTTGATATGCTGAATCTAACCATGTATTTAGATTTTTTATTTGTGGACCCCGTTATCTAATTGGTTCATATTGAGGTCAAAAGGGTCCAAAATTAAACTTTGTTTGATTTCATCTAAAATTGAATTATTGGGGTTCTTTGATATTCCAAATCTAACCGCGTATTTAGGTTTTTAATTTTGGGTCCTGTTTTTTAAATTGGTCTACATTGAGGTCCAAAGGGTCCAAAATTAAACTTAGTTTGATTTTGACAAAAATTGAATTCTTGGGGTTCTTTGATTTGCTGAATCTAAACATGTGTTTAGATTTTTGATTATGGGCCCAGTTTTCAAGTTGGTCCAAGATAGGGTCCAGTATTTAAACTTTGTTTGATTTCAACAAAAATTGAATATATGGGGTTCTTTGATATGCTGAATCTAAACATGTATTTAGATTTTTGATTATGGGCCCAGTTTTCAAGTTGGTCCAAATTGGGGTCCAAAATTAAACTTTGTTTGATTTCAACAAAAATTGAATAAATGAGGTTCTTTGATATGCTGAATCTAACCATGTATTTAGATTTTTTATTTGTAGGCCCCGCTATCAAATTGGTTCATATTGAGGTCAAAAGGGTCCAAAATAAAATTGTTTGATTTCATCGAAAATTGAATTATTGGGGTTCTTTGATATGCCAAATCTAACCGTGTTTTTAGATTTTTAATTTGGGTCCCGTTTTTTAAATTGGTCTTCATTGAGTTCCAAAGGGTCCAAAATTAAACTTAGTTTGATTTTAACAAAAATTGAATTCTTGGGGTTCTTTGATATGCTGAATCTAAACATGTGTTTAGATTTTTGATTATGGGCCCAGTTTTCAAGTTGGTCCAAGTTGGGGTCCAAAATTAAACTTTTTTTGATTTCAACAAAAATTGAATATATGGGGTTCTTTGATATGCTGAATCTAACCATGAATTTAGATTTTTTATTTGTGGGCCCCGCTATCAAATTGGTTCATATTGAGGTCAAAAGGGTCCAAAATTAAACTTTGTTTGATTTCATCAAAAATTGAATTATTGGGGTTCTTTGATATTCCAAATTTAACCGTGTATTTAGATTTTTAATTTTAAGTCCCGTTTTTTAAATTGGTCTACATTAAGGTCCAAAGGGTCCAAAATTAAACTTAGTTTGATTTTAGCAAAAATTGAATTCTTGGGGTTCTTTGATATGCTGAATCTAAACATGTGTTTAGATTTTTGATTATGGGCCCAGTTTTCAAGTTTGTCCAAGTTGGGGTCCAAAATTAAACTTTGTTTGATTTTAACAAAAATTGAATATATGGGGTTCTTTGATATGCTGAATCTAACCATGTATTTTGATTTTGGACATTGGACCATAATAGGTAAATTAAAAAAATTCAAGTTCTTAGACCACATTCTTTCTGTGTCAGAAACCTATGCTGTGTCAAATATTTAATAACAATCCAAATTCAGAGCTGTATCAAGCTTGAATGTTGTGTCCATACTTGCCCCAACTGTTCAGGGTTCGACCTCTGCGGTCGTATCAAGCTGCGCCCCAGCGAAGCATTTTATCTGCAGATTTTACAGATAACGGATTTCATTGTAAATGTTTTGTTTGTTAGATGAATGATTACATTTTGTCTGACCAAATGTCGGACTGTATTTTGATGAATGTCATGAATTCTGTTTGCTTGTTATTCCTGGATGGAAATATCTCCAAGCATTTTGTGGTGTTGTAATTTATCTATAGGCAGATTATTTTTGTTCTAGTTATAATTTAAAGATAATATGACTCGGTTGACTTAGAAAAAACATTGAATGAAATTATGTTAATTATTTTCCTTGGCTAATATTTCCACATTGCTAAGTCTGCAAATGATGTCTTATCACGATGGTCTACTGATAAAACCAGTGAAGAAATGCCTATTGGCTTCTGTCTGATGCAGACAATTACTACTTGACTTTTGGTCTGTCAATTTTTCATTTGAAACTTACAACATGTAAAAATACCTGAATAACTTTATTTGAACATGCATATATATACAGTTAACTCTCGTTCCGAAATCAGTCGACTCGAAATTTCGGATGAGTCAAAGTTTTCCTGTGGTCCCGAACTTTGTTCCATATAATATAGGTATTTCGACTCCTGATGAGTCGAAATTTCAGTTGACCCGAAACTAAATTTACGGTTTCAAGGGTAACAAAAGTATTCAAATAACATTTTTATCTTGATTTAATACACATATGTCAAAACAAGAATGTGGGGATTTAAATGGATTGTTGAGTTCATCTGACAATACATGTGTAATTAAATTCCCGGTCGCTGACCACTTTATTGATATATGACATTCATTTTCTACGAGTGTTTACCTAAGATTATCTGTGATCACCATAAAAAATAATTAGTGATATATATATACATTGTTATAGTTTATGAAAAATTATTTTAAATGTTTTAAAAACAATTAACCGTAATCATTCATTAATGAGCTTGGTTGTGCATAAAGTAGGGATTAAGACTTGGTGATCAACTCAAAACTACTCAATTGGCTTCTTTGATCTTTTCATATTTTCTCTTGCAGAAAAAGATTGAAATAAAAGAAAATGAAAACAAATCTTAATTTTCTAAAAATTCTTGTTTTTGAGAATGAACAATTTTGTCAACTGGTATCTCAAAATATTTCTCTGGTCTGGCTGACTTCGAGATAACAAGAGTCGACTGTATATATCATTGATTGATAAAGAAGATTACCCAAATTTAAGGATTGCTATTTTCATATAGTTTTATTATGTATAAACCTTTATTTCAGGCTATTAATGGAAGCTACGTTGACAAGAAGTGTCCATTCACTGGTAATGTTCACATTAGAGGAAGAATCCTGTCAGGTGTGGTCCTTAAAATGAAGATGATGAGGACCATTGTTATCAGAAGAGATTATCTTCATTATGTCAAGAAGTACAACAGATTTGAAAAGAGGCACAAAAACATGTCTGTCCATTGCAGTCCAGCTTTCAGGTACATATAGCTTTTCTTTCAGGATGAAAAAAATCATAATTTGTTTGTTACATGTATGTATACTTTATCCCTGAGAGAGCAGACAGTTCACCCCAGTAAACATTATTCGCACAGACAACACATTGATATAAATACATCCTCTTTAACAGTATGACAAATATTACCATTATTTCCTAATTCAAACAGTAGATTTTGTGCCCTCTTGATTAATGAGATGACTATTACATGTATGCCAATGAGGAAAATTCTTTTCAGAACTGTGAAGAAAACGCACGTCAGTCTGAGGCATAGTTTAGTTGTAAAAGTAGACATTGAAATACAATTGTATAATGATACCAGTTCTATAATTTTTTCTCACTGTGAACATCACCAAAAACTGGTTATAACATTCAATTTTCAAGCCAGATAGAATAATTTACAAATGTCTTTGATGTTAATTTGCATGCTTGGCTAGAATGTAAAAAACCACATAGGATATTTTTTTGAAAAGATAATACTTTAAAGTGTATAAGGCTAAACTTAAAGACATAGTTCTTTTTCTTTCCTCCCTACCTATCTTAAATGTTCATGCCTATTCAACACATTTTATCGACCAATATTGTTAAGCAGATGATAAACTTTTTCAGATAGAAGCCTGACCCTCTTTTTTGGAAAATTTGTCTAGATTCTATTGGCATGTAGTAGAAATTCAAACTTGCCAAATAGAAATTTATCAAACCTTGGCTGTTGGGCCTATCGCCAAGCCTGAAGACCATCATTAACAGTCCAGACATTTTGGTTAGGCACTGTAAAAGTACAGAATTTAAAATGAAGATCCATATATAACCATTCCTTCCTCATTCAATCAGTAAATTTTGAACGTTTATGTTTTAAGAGTTAACTGTAACGTGTGCCAATGAGGAAAATTCTTTTCAGAACTGTGAAGAAAACGCACGTCAGTCTGAGGCATAGTTAAGTTGTAAAAGTAGACATTGAAATACAATTGTAATATGATACCAGTTCTACAGTTTTTTCTCACTGTGAACATCACCAAAAACTGGTTATGACATTCATTTTTCAAGCCAGATAGAATAAATTGCAAATATCTTTGATGTTAATTTTCAGGCTTGGCTTGAAAGTAAAAAACCACATGGAATATTAAAGTGCTGCATTTTCATGAAATATTTTAAATAAGCATTTATGACTTTTTCATAGCAAAGTTTTATATTTTGCAATCCATAGTCGGTCATTATTTACTAAGGTGTCACAGGCTTGGCACAAAGGAGTATAATCCGCATGGGATATTGAAGTGCTGCATTTTCATGAAATACTTTGAATCAGCATTTACTACCATTTTCATGGCAAAGTTTTATATTTTGCAATCCATAGACGGTCATTATTTGCTAAGATGTCACAGTAAGGGGGGTTGACTTAAGTTAGATTTGAAAATAATTGGATGAATATTTTCATGCTGTTTTAGTTTGTTCAAGTCCACTATAGAGTAAAGAGACAAATTAAATTAATATGCATTTGCAAGTAGTAAAAACAATAATTAAGTCTCCCAAACGAAGTTTGGGAAGACTTATTGTTTTTGCTCAGTTCTTATTATTATTATTATTCTTCTTCTTCTTCTTCTTCTTCTTCTTCTTCCGCCGCTTTTAAATTTGAACTTGTCCGCACCCGTTCTCCAAAACCGCTTGTCGGATTAACTTAGGGTTTCGCAATATGTTAGACTAACATGTCTAGTGGTGCAATCAGGGTTTTGTTTTTGCAATGGGGTTTATAAAGGGGTACTTTGAGGGGCAAAAAGAAAAGAGGGTTTTACTATAGAACCCTATGGGATTTTATTTTTTAAAATTTTCAAATGATTATAAATTGAAAACCGTTCGTGATAGACACAAACTTTTTAATTGAAAATGTTCTAAATGATGAAGCCCATTAAATGAAATACAGGGTTATTCCCCAGGGGTCACCCCCACCCCCTGCCATTTAAGAAAGTTCTAATACCTTGTAAGTGGTCAAGATCCCCACCCCTAAACCATATATATTCTGGTTTGTCATGCTAAGATGGTTTGAATGATATACAGGGTTAGTCCCCAGGGGTCATCCCCACCCCCTGTCATTTGAGAAAGTTCATATATCTTGTAAATGGTCGAGATCCCCACCCCTAAACCATATATATTCTGGTTTGTCATGATAAAGTACATCAAATGTAATACAGGGTTAGTCCCCAGGGGTCACCCCCACCCCCTGCCATTTAAGAAAGTTCTAATATCTTCTAAGTTGTCAAGATCCCCACCCCTAAACCATATATATTCTGGTTTGTCATGCTGAGATGGTTTGAATGATATACAGGGTAAGTCCCCAGGGGTCATCCCGACCCCCTGCCATTTGAGAAAGTTCTAATATCTTGTAAATGGTCGAGATCCCCACCCCTAAACCATATATATTCTGGTTTGTCATGATAAAGCACATCAAATGTTATACAGGGTTAGTCCCCAGCGGTCACCCCCACCCCTTGCCATTTGAGAAAGTTCTAATATCTTGTAAATGGTCGAGATCCCCACCCCTAAACCATATATATTCTGGTTTGTCATGATAAAGCACATCAAATGAAATACAGGGTTAGTCTCCAGGGGTCACCCCCACCCCCTGCCATTTAAGAAAGTTCTAATATCTTCTAAGTGGTCAAGATCCCCACCCCTAAACCATATATATTCTGGTTTGTCATGCGAAGATGGTTTGAATGATAGACAGGGTTAGTCCCCAGGGGTCATCCCGACCCCCTGCCATTTGAGAAAGTTCTAATATCTTGTAAATGGTTGAGATCCCTACCCCTAAACCATATATATTCCTATTTGTCATGATAAAGTACATCATATGTAATACAGGGTTAGTCCCCAGGGGTCACCCCCACCCCCTGCCATTTAAGAAAGTTCTAATATCTTCTAAGTTGTCAAGATCCCCACCCCTAAACCATATATATTCTGGTTTGTCATGCTAAGATGGTTTGAATGATATACAGGGTTAGTCCCCAGGGGTCATCCCGACCCCCTGCCATTTTAGAAAGTTCTAATATCTTGTAAATGGTCGAGATCCCCACCCCTAAACCATATATATTCTGGTTTGTCATGATAAAGCACATCAAATGTTATATAGGGTAAGTCCCCAGGGGTCACCCCCTCCCCCTGCCATTTAAGAAAGTTCTAATATCTTCTAAGTGGTCAAGATCCCCACCCCTAAACCATATATATTCTGGTTTGTCATGCTGAGATGGTTTGAATGATATACAGGGTAAGTCCCCAGGGGTCATCCCGACCCCCTGCCATTTGAGAAAGTTCTAATATCTTGTAAATGGTCGAGATCCCCACCCCTAAACCATATATATTCTGGTTTGTCATGATAAAGCACATCAAATGTTATACAGGGTTAGTCCCCAGCGGTCACCCCCACCCCTTGCCATTTGAGAAAGTTCTAATATCTTGTAAATGGTCGAGATCCCCACCCCTAAACCATATATATTCTGGTTTGTCATGCCAAGATGATTTGAATGATATACAAGGTTAGTCCCCAGGCATCACTAATGCATATAACTTTACTGGACCAAACCAATTTTCACTGGACGTTGCCCAATGTCAGGCGACCCTGGGAATTACGAATTATGGGAGCTTCGTTTGGGAGACTTCGTAACAGCATCCTGTTACAATCATTTCTTGTTTATTGTGGGTTTTCTTTGTCTCATCAATTTTGTGGAAAGATCTTACTTTAAGGAATGTAAAAGGCTAAAGACGTAGTTTTTATGCCCCCGCTGTCACCAGAGGGAGCATTTAGTGTTACCCTTGGCTGTCTGTATGTACATCCCAAAATTAGTTTCCATTCTCTAATTTTAATTTGCCTCAACCAAATGTTATGAAACTTATACACAATGCTAATTACCACAAAACATAGATTAAGTTCGAATTTGGGTGGCGTCACTTTTACTGTTCTCGAGTTATGCCTCTTTATAACGTTATATGCAAGTTCTTCATTTATTTTTTTCTTTCCTACCTACCTATTTTAAATGTTCATGCCTATACAACACATTTTATCGACCAATATTCAATTGTAAGCACCATTACAGTCTTGATGATAAACTTAGCAGCCTTAGGTCTGATCCTCATTTTTGGAAATTTTGTCTTAATTTCTATTAGACCATGTTAGACGGTAGTAGAAATTCATACTGGCCCAATGGACATTTTACAAGTCTGGGCAGTGGGCAGTCATTAACAGTTCAGATATTTTAGAAAGGCACTATAAAAGTGCCGTATTTTAAAGAAAGATGCATATATAAGCTTTCTTTCCTAATTCAAACATTAGATAATGTCCATTTACATTTTAAGAGTTAACTATAACTTGTGTGCCAATGAGGAAAATACTTATCTGAACTGTGAAGAAAACGCACGTCAGTCTGAGGCATATTTTAGTTTTATAAGCGGACATTAAAACATAATTGTTTTATGATACTTATTCTATAATTTTTCTCACTGTGAACATCACCGAAAACTGGTTATAACATTCAATTTTGTTCACCTTTAGTTTTACAACCCAGATATAATGAATTGCAAATGTCTTTCATGTTAATTTGCAGGCAAGCTTATTAAAAAACAAGAATGGATATCAAAGTGTTTCTTTTTCATAAACTGTTATGAGTTAACATCTTCCTATTTTTATCACAAAGTTTTATATTTTTCAATCCGTAGATGCTTGGAATATTATCATAAAATGCACAGTTCTTAAAATCTGTCTATGATGTGTCTATATACTCCAGGGGTACCTACTAAAATTTCATTCCCCAAACATAACTGGGTAAATTATAGTCTTGGAAATTGCTTATATACTATTTAAGGATTATTTTTCATAAAGTATTATCAATTGTTTTGTCATTTGAGAATTGTGAAAGGAGGGAGAATAGATGTTCTGTTCAAAACCAGGGATACACAGTATAAAACGTTGGCAAAATATTCTTTGTTATTAATTATATTTACTTCATTTCAATAATATTTAGTAAAATGAAACAATTAACAGCCTGTTTCTTTCAAGAAGTGAAGAAATAAAAAGAAAAATGAAAAATAACTGTCCCTCTGTTTTAACATGACAAAGGTGGTTGTGCATTATCATGTATACATGTTTCAAACAAAATTACTATTTGATATTCAACCTTTTGTGTCAAGTTGACTTGTGTTTGGTAGCATTCTTATGTCTAGATTTATAATTGGGCAAGACAATTGAGAGAATATTGACAAGCATGTCAGCAATTCGGTTCATGTTTAAAGTTGTTTAAAATTTGGTTGAAAAAATTGTCAATTTATCTGTAATGGATTTAAATCAATATACCAATGAGGAACCACTTTGATCTAAATAAAAAACATGTCAGTCTGAAGCACATTTAATTCTACATGTGCATGATGTATATACATACAGGAGCAGGTCTTTTTCTTAAAATACATATTAATATAAACTTTGGTAAATAATAAGTTCAGAAATGGAGGGATTTTGAATTTGGAATTAGGATTAAATATGACTGGTCAAAGGAATATATTTCTTTATTTTACAGAGATCTGGTTGTTGGAGATGTTGTCACAGTAGGAGAGTGTCGACCTCTGAGTAAAACAGTACGATTCAATGTTATTGGTATCAAGAAGACAGGTTCCTCCAAAAAAGGATTTAGAAAATTCTAAATAAAAAAATGGACATGTATTTTGATTATTGTCTTAAATTGGCATCCTGAGAAACAAAATTTCAGAACATAGTTGCACAGAGGAATGTTTCACATAATTATCAGTGTTCCCTCTGTCTGTATCACTTTGCTAGGCTCTTCATAAAATTAAAATGGAGAATAGAAATTGGGAATGTGTCAAAGAGACAACAACCTGACCAAAGAGCAGAAAACAGCCCAAGACCATATCACGGCTTTGTGCCGTTAAATTTGTTAACCAGGCCTAAAAAACTGAGACCAGAAAATATCAACAACGTCATAAAGAATGAACAGATATTTATAAGTTAGAGCCATACTTATCAGGTCATCTTCTTGTTTGCTGATGAAACAAAGAAAAACAGTTGTTTCTATCATGCAAACTACACAAATACAATCAGATAAATCAACTATCAGATTTTCATCATATTTATATTGTAAAATATCAGCTGCTAGACACAACATGAAGCCTTTTTGAAAAAAATTCACTGCGCTCGCGACAAAAGGCTTCATATTGTGACTCTCGCAGCTGATATTTAACAATATCAATATACAGACAACCTGATAATCGGTACCTTCATGATTCTGCCAACATATGCTTGGCTGCTATTTATTCCATTTGTATTAAAATTCAGTCTCACAAAATTTAAAAGTTAAAAAGTGGTGGAAAAATTTACGAGTCCCACCACTGAGGAAGCTTCATTATCTCCAAACAATAAGATTTCCACACTTTTGAAAAAGATGCCCCACTAAGGATATTATGTTTATGATCTGTATGTCTATCCAGTGGTTTTTAGTTTGCCCCTATCAGGTTAAAGATTTGGTTTAAGGTAGTTAACCATGAAGTAGTGATCACATCAACTTAAAACTTAGTACACATATTTATTATGGTGTGATTTTTAAAGATGTGTGCCAAACAAGGGTTTTGACCCAGATTGGGTGGATTAATTAGCATGGGATAACATTTACGGTATCAATTTTGTTACACCAAATGTGCATTTCAACAAAAATAAAAATAAGATATGGTATGATTGCCCTTGAGACCAGAGACCAAATGCAAAGAAGTAAGCACCTAAGGGTGTCAGTACGGCCTTCAACAATTAGCAAAACCATTCCGTATGGCAAGTTATGAAAGGCCCCGATTTAACAAATGTAAAACAATGAACGAAAAACAAAGGAACATACAGAATGTGGTTTGGGTTAAACATGTTTGCTGGCTTTCAACCCTTCCCTAACCTGGGACAGTGGCGTAACAGCACAACACAAGAACAAACTATAACAATCAGTTGAAAATGGCTCAACTCATTAGATCAATACCAAGCAAAAAAAAACTTAACAAAAACACAAAAGATGCAAAGAACAGATCTGGGAGTTCTCTCAATTACTGAAAACTAGTTCAAAGCCAATAATAACTAATAATAAAATACATGTATCTAAGACTAAAATATCAATTGGTGCACATCCAACATCCAATGGATTTAGTGTAAAGACGTCGTTAACAGTCAGAGAATAACATGACCTTATGCAATGCCAAAACTTGGTATCGACAGAATGTAGGACAGTGAAAGTACATATGTGTATAGAAATAATATTTAGTTGGGTCTTAGTTGATAACAAAATCAATATTTATACAGGTAGAAACAGAATTCAAAATTCTAATTACAGTGTTCAGTTGGTAACCTTTTAGAATATTATTCAAAGGATATGATAGGTTTACCCAAATTGTTTCTAAATTTACGAGGTCTGTAAACAATATCACTGTGAAAATTTGGATGTGCTATGCTGTGTGTAATAAGTTTTCTACAGTTACTGCCGAATTTCTTAACCAAATCTTTATATCTATGAAAGAATTATGTAAATATTTATGCCCCCGCCGAAGCGGAGGGGGCATTAAGTTTTACCCTTGTCCGTCTGTCCGTACGTCCCAAAATTGGTTTCCGTTTCCAACTTAAGTTTGCCTCAACCAAATGTTATGAAACTTATACACAATGCTTATTACCACAAAACACAGATCTAGTTTGAATTTTGGTGGCGTCACTTTAACCGTCCTAGAGTTGTGCCCATTTCTAAATGGAAAAATTGCAAAATTTGTCATTTCCATTCTCTAACTTAAATTTGCCTCAACCAAATGTTATGAAACTTATACACAATGCTTATTACCACAATACACAGATCAAGATTGAATTTTGATGGCGTCACTTTTACTATCCTAGAGTTGTGCCCCTTTACAAATGGAAAAATTACTAAATTTTTCTTTTTTTTTCTAAAAATATCAATGATGTCATTGTTCAAGTAATTTTTATACGACGGAATAAATTTTTGCGGTCCTATATTGGTATGATGTTGTTGTCGTCTTCCGAAGACACATTGGTTTTCGCACTCTAACTTTAGTTTAAGTGAATGGATCTCTTTGAAATTTTACCACAAGGTTCAATACCACAAAAGGAAGGTGGGGATTGATTTTGGGGGTTATGGTACCAACAGTTAAGGAATAAGGGGCCAAAAATAAGCATTTTCTAGTTTCCAGACAATAACTGTGGAACGGTGTATGGATCTCTCTGAAATTATACTACAAGTTTCCATACCACAAAGGGATGGTTAGGATTTGCTTTGGGGGGTTATGGCTCAAACCGTTTAGGAATTAGGGGGAAAACAAGGTTGTCCTGGTTAATGGACAAATACTTCAGTACAAAACATAATTTAAAGCAGTGTAAGGGAGATAATCAAATACATCATTGAAATTATCTCCCTTACACTGCTTTTAAATTATGTATAAAGTAATGGTTAATGAACAATTAAGATAATTTAAAACAGTGTAAGGGAGGTAATCCAAATACAACGTTTTGGTTACTACCCTGACACTGCTTTTAAATTATTTTTAAAGAAATGCATATTTATAAAGGAAGACCAGTAAAAATATCTGCAAATGTTGCATCTTTTTTTTTTAACAAAAAATCCATATGAAAGATTTGACACTATATTTTAAATTCTATTATATAATAGATGAAGTTAGCACTATGGTAAATTTAAATGGGTAATTATGGTTGCAAACTCCATTGGAAATTTGAATTGAGATTATGACCACATCTTGAGGGAAAGATTTTTTTGGGGGAAAAAGGGGGGGGGGGGGTAAAAAGAAATTGTGGGGGGTCAATTTTTTCTCATTTCAGATTTCAGAAATTAAAAAGAATTATTCTTCAAATATTATTTTTTTTTCAAATTTCCAATATTGAATCTAAACATGTATTTAGATTTTTAATTTTTGGCCCAGTTTTCAAGTTGGTCCAAATTAGGGTCCAAAATTAAACTTTGTTTGATTTCAACAAAAATTGAATACATGTGGTTCTTTGATATGCTGAATCTAACCATGTATTTAGATTTTTTATTTGTGGACCCCGCTATCAAATTGGTTCATATTGAGGTCAAAAGGGTCCAAAATTAAACTTTGTTTGATTTCATCAAAAATTGAATTATTGGGGTTCTTTGATATTCCAAATCTAACCGTGTATTTAGATTTTTAATTTTGGGTCCCGTTTTTTAAATTGGTCCACATTAAGGTCCAAAGGGTTCAAAATTAAACTTAGTTTGATTTTAACAAAAATTGAATTCTTGGGGTTCTTTGATATGCTGAATCTAAACATGTGTTTAGATATTTGATTATGGGCCCAGTTTTCAAGTTTGTCCGAGTTGGGATCCAAAATTAAACTTTGTTTGATTTCAACAAAAATTGAATACATGGGGTTCTTTGATATGCTGAATCTAACCATGTATTTTGATTTTGGATATTGGACCATAATAGGTAAATTAAAAAAAATCAAGTTCTTAGACCACATTCTTTCTGTGTCAGAAACCTATGCTGTGTCAAATATTTAATATCAATCCAAATTCAGAGCTGTATCAAGCTTGAATGTTGTGTCCATACTTGCCCCAACTGTTCAGGGTTCGACCTCTGCGGTCGTATCAAGCTGCGCCCAGCGAAGCATTTTATTAAAATTGGAGTTTTTTATTCCTTTGTTCATGATTATAGTTGAATCAACTACAATCAATGCTTTATACAATGCAATGTTTAATTTTTCCTTCCACTGATAAAACACAGATCAAGTTGAATTTGGGTAGTATCACTTTAACCATTATTGAGTTATGCCCCTTTATAAACCTAAAAATGCAAAAAATTTAGTTTCCGTTTTGTAACTTAAGTTTGCCCCAACCAAACATGAAACCTATACACAATACTTATTACCACAAAACTAAGATCAAGTACAAATTTGGGTAGCATCACTTTTATTGTTCTTGAGTTATGTCCCTTTATAATGTATGCAAGCGGGGCATCATCTGTGTTCATGGGGACACATTCTCCATTTATTTGTTATTTGTGGTAACAAAATCCTTGACTTAAAATCATTTAACTATATATAACTTTTGATTTACATTGCAGTAAACAATAAATAAGATAACTGTAAATTTTGGGAGATAAAAAAAGGACTTAGTTTCAAGTCTCTTTATCCATTGGTCCCAGGTTAAATGAGAAACTACAATATTTTTTTAAATAGGTAATTTCTTCTGTTATAAACAATAAAAATATAAGTAGCAATTTAAAAGAAGTTATGCAAATTAGTGACCAACCGACATTGACCTCTATTAAGCTATTTTATGCACAGAAAAAATGATTATCTTTCTAAAAAATCTGCAGCAATGTAACTAACAAATATGCAATAGTGCTATAATAGGTTTTTAGGCAGTTAAGCTGCCTTATGCGAGCACCCTAGATTTGTGTTCTACCCAATAAATGCTGAAATACGTGCCATTGTTATTATCTAGCTGGATATAATGTTAATTATAACTAATTGAATAGTTTTTTCATACTTTTAATTCTGGATTTCAAAAATATGACCAGAAAAAACCTTAAATGATCGTCGAACCACCCAAAAGTTTTGAAGTTGCACATAGGAAGTAGAGCACATTAGGAATCCTTATGTAGTTTATTATCCCCTGTGCTTTTGGCTAA